GCCGGGGCCGGCGGGCAGGAGGCTGGGGGGCAGCGCGGTGCGGGGCCGCGGGCCGGGCGCCCTTTGTGACACCGCGGTATCACCGGGGTGGCAGCTCACGGGTGACCCTTGGCCCCAGCAGGGTCCCGCACTGGGGAAAACAGGCTGACCGGCAGTGCCTGTCTCTGGCTTTTTTTGTTTTCCTCATTCCACATGATTTATTGGTTTATCTTCTTAGAATAGCTCCTCTTCTCCTTCCCTGTTTCTTTTACTTTCTCTCTTATATATCCTGCTCAACTGGTTTGATCAAAGACTGTGCATATCACCTAGCGCGTGTGCCTTGCGCGTCTTGCAAAGATATTGCGCCCTTTTGCTCATAACATACATGCCTTTTATTTTCCCGGTCCACAGGTGGAATTAAACTGGTCCTTCTGGCAGTGAACGGCTCCTGCGTTTCATCTGGTTTCTACATTTGGGAGGCGCCAACGAATTTTCTTTAACTGCCGGGGCTGGCTGCACGGGTGCTGCTGCGGAGCTGGCGCTGCGCTTTCCCGCGCTGGTCTCTCACAAGGAGCACTGCTCTTTCTTCCTTCTTTCCTTCCTTCCTATCCATCCATCCATCCATCCATCCATGCGATCACCTCGTACCTGCAGGCAGGACTATCCCTTTTACCGTGATCCTGGCTAAAATGAGTGCCCTGATTCACTTTATGTAACTGATGTCCAACCATTTACAAGATAATTAGATTTCCACTTTGGACTATTACAACAGGACTCATTTTTCATTGTTTGCCAGGTGATTTAATGTGTTTCTCTAATTTGTACTTTGTGGCAAGAAAAGGTTGTGAAGAGCAGGATTTCAAAGTGGCTGAATCGGCCAGATTTATCACTGAAAAAGCAAGCTATGTGAATTTGACTCTCAAAATGTGGTGGAAATACAAATAGATATAACATCGCATGACCTTACCCCAAAGCCGTGTTTCAGAGTTAACGTTCCAATGCCTGTTTGGGGTTTAAAGTTTCCTGTGAATCCCAGCATTTATTAATACCCAGGGTTACCCATTAACTCTCAGTTTTGTGTGACATAGAAGATTGTTGGCAACGCTAGACACTTGCTTTTGCACTTGAAATGAAAAATGATTCAGAGCCGAGTCCTGCAGTCCTTAATCTCTTGTACCAGCCCCTCCCAAACGCCAATAGCGTGCAGCTCGTATTGGAAAGGGAGGTTTTGCCGGCAGCACCTGATCCCACCGGAGTCGGCGGGAATCTGCACGTGGGCTCACGTGCACGCGGGACCGGGACTTCGGCGCCCAGTGAGACCCCTCCAGAAGGGCCAGCGCTGCGGAAGGGC